CCCATTTTAAGGCTAGGCGTGGCTATTGGCTGGTAACAGAGTTTATAGTTTTCTTGCCTGGCGTAACTTTGGCCAAGGCGATGGTTTTTAGAACCGGAAAACAGCTCAATGGCCCATTTTAAGGCTAGGCGTGGCTATTGGCTGGTAATAGAGTTTATAGTTTTTTTTGCCTGGCGTAACTTTGGCCAAGGCGATGGTTTTTAGAACCAGAAAACAGCTCAATGGCCCATTTTAAGGCTAGGCGTGGCTATTGGCTGGTAACAGAGTTTATAGTTTTCTTGCCTGGCGTAGCTTTGGCCAAGGCGATGGTTTTTAGAACCAGAAAACAGCTCAATGGCCCATTTTAAGGCTAGGCGTGGCTATTGGCTGGTAATAGAGTTTATAGTTTTCTTGCCTGGCGTAACTTTGGCCAAGGCGATGGTTTTTAGAACCAGAAAACAGCTCAATGGCCCATTTTAAGGCTAGGCGTGGCTATTGGCTGGTAATAGAGTTTATAGTTTTCCTGCCTGGCGTAACTTTGGCCAAGGCAATGGTTTTTAGAACCAGAAAACAGCTCAATGGCCCGTTTTAAGGTTAGGTGTGGCTGTTGGCTAGAAACCCACCCGTGGCTGGTATTGCACAGCTATCGGGCGTGACCCCTGTGGCGATGGGGTAGCTGGTTCAAGTGCCTGAACTGGTTGTGACAGTGTCACCATGGACCAACGCAATATAATAGTAGTAATGATGTCCACATAAAACAAACTAGATGAAAGACTAATAGAATGCATGTGACGTTGCCATAGCAATGTCCCCAACTTTGTCCCTATTGTTAGGGCTTTATACGTCAGTGATGAAAAACCAACCCTACTTTTTCGGGGGGTTGAAACATGCTCTTTCTGATGAGAATGATTAGTGCTCAGTGGGCCATTTTAAGGCTAGGCGTGGCTGTTGGCTGATACTAGATTTTAGACTTTCCTTGCCTGACATAACTTTGGCCATAGAAAGTTCTTTATTCTTAGAATAGAGAAAAAACTTCAGTCGTTTTTATAGGAAGGTGTAGTGTATAAGGTATAAAGGATTTTAGACTTTTATTGCCTCTTAGTGTTAGACATGGCAGAGTTTCTTAAAGTCAAAGTAAAATCTCTGACCTTTTTAATGAAAGGTTGGGTGTGTGCATTTCTAAAATAGTATAGTTTTTTCTTCTGATATAATTTTAGGCATGGCTGTGGTTCTTAGTAGTTCATAGGGCCCCAAAAGTAGGGACTGGCTCAATTTATTGTGGTGATATTTTCGCACTGACCTTAGCCCTGTTTTCCCATCAGTGCCAAACTATCATGGACATTCATTCTCGATTGGCCCTGTGCTAACAGTCCATCTCCACCACTGATCTCCTGTTCTTTCCCCTAGGCACGTGATCATGGATGATTTGCCCAGTGAGACTTATTCTTAGCCAATTCGCGATTTGGGACAAATAAATGCCAGTTGATCCCCATTCCATGGAATGGACCTCTGCCTTCTCCTTGAATGGCAGCAGTCTCGGTTTCCGGAGAGGCTTGGGACAGAGGGGCGGAATCTGGAAAGGCCTGCGGTGTGAGATCCACCACCATGCTTGTGCCACTATGGCCCTGTACTTTGCATAAGCCCTGGACTCCACTTCTCGCAATTCCAGCTGCCCCATCCCCTCAAGCTCTCCTGCACTGGGTTGGCAGCATTTTGGGGCTTTTGAAAGTGTAGTGGCGACGGCAAAAGTTCCGGGCCGCCGGTGGGGACCCAAAACATCTTGGGGGAGGCTCCCAGACATCCCTCTTTGCCAGCAAACACACACTCCCTTTGCAACAAAAAATCCCACCCCCACCCCCGGCTGCTACTCCAGAGATGGGGTACTTCTCCTGTAGGGTATGGGGTGGAGCACAAATGTGCATAAAAACATTGTGCTTTTCTGTGCAGCTTGGAGAGCTCCTGCTATGCTGGGTGCTTTTAGGGATTGAGCAAGCACTGATGGCTGGCTGGCTAGGCAGGGAGAAATGTTCATGGCCGGGAAGGGGGTGGTGTTGGTGGAGCTTGAAGTTGGCGCATGTTCTTGGTCCCTGCCTTCTCACAGTGCCAGCCCAATCAAGAACTGGGTGGGGAGCAACACCAATGAACATCCGCCAGTCGTGAGTGCTGCCAACACCCTCCAGCTGCTAGCGCCCCTGCCCAGCCAGCCCTGTTTGCTCGCTTGAACAGCCCCTTGAAGGCATGTCTCTTTTTCAGACTCACTCCTCTGACCTTGGCACCCAAGGCTGCTGCCATCCACTGAGAAGGCAGAGGCCCCATCCCTCAATGTGGGGATTGGCTGGAATTTAGTTGTACTGCACCAAAAATTGGTCAAGAATACGTTTCTTTGGGTGAATCGGCCGTGATCATGCAGGGGTGGGTGGGGAGGACAGGGCACCAGTGGAGGGAGGGGTGCTGGCAACTCCAAAATTTCTTGGGATTTGCAAATTTTTACTGTCAGTTAAGCCCATCATTTGCTCAGATAGCACTTTGTATTACCAGCTTACTGAAAACAAAGGGGAGGGGGAAGCCCAAACCCAGTCAGCCACTGAAATGGACAATGGAGTGCCAGGAAGCATTTGAAAAACTCAAATGCCTATTTGTGGTGGAGCCCATACTAAAGCACCAAACCCTAACACCTTCTTTGTCATCCAAGCAGATACCAGTGACGTGGCTGTGGATGCAGAGCTGCTGCATAAAAATGATCAAGGGACCCTGCAGTCATGTGCCCACACTTCCAAAAAACTGAGTGAAACAGAGCGCAGGTGGGTAGTATGAGAAAAGGAAGCCTATGCAGTAAGCTGGACACTACTGACATGGAGGCATTTTCCAGAGGGGAACAAAATTCCTTTCAAGGTCTGGACAGATCATAAAGACCTAGAACTGCTTTAAAAAAAAAAAAACCCAGAAAACTGTCCCCCAAGAAGAGTGGTGGGCTCAATACTTTAATCATTTTAATTTCACTTTACGGTACCTCCCAGGCAGTTAGAACTTCTTGGCGGATGCCCTCCCATGGCTGCCCCAATACAACAGCTCTAAAGCTGAGATTATTCGACTAGTCATTCCATCCAAGCAATTGGCAGTATCACTTTTCTACTAGAGCTCAAGAAAAATGCTCCCCCAAATGATGTGCCAGATGATCTTGAAAGTAGAGTTGAAGGAGGACTAGTGGCTCAGGGACCACCAAGCAGACTGTATTGTACATGATGACTTAGCCTGGGCGGGGCCCAAATTGTATGTGCCTGCAAGCCAATGACTTGTAGTGTAGAAATGCCACAATTCAAAAACTGCAGGGCAATTTGGCTTCGTGAAAACCTTACACTTCATAAAGCGCCAATTCTGGTGGCCGTCACTAAAGCAGGACATTTGTAAGGACACAGCATTTCCCCTCATCTCAAACCGAATGGGTGGACACTCAGCATGTTAAGGCCTCGAAACTCATTCATACATCCCATAGAATATCCAGGTAAACCCCAATGAACCCAATCTAATTGTTCTTTTCCTATTTCTCTTTTTTTCCCCCAGGATTAACGTCCATGTCAAGGGGGACCGAATGTCAGCACTGCCGTCTTCACTAGGCTTGCTCGGGGAAGCTGTGCAGGTGGAGAGAAGATAGATGTTAGGGGAAAGGGTGAACACTGACAGGAACCAGAGGTGCTAAGCAGCCTTGCCTTTTACTGTAACCTCTAATCCTTCATAAAAGAACCCATTGCTTGAACCAAATGGAGTCGGGGTCTTTCTTTCCTAGGGACTTAGCTTGGGCAGGTTTGACAATAACCCCAAATGGCAAAATACATTTTTATAAAATTTAAAAAAAATGGGAAAGAAAAGTTAAAATATGAGATCTCCAAATCTCTTTGAGGAGATCTCATACAATCAGAGGGAACACTCCAAATGTTTTTTTGATGCTCTTGAGTAAGATTTCAGATTCCAGGGACTCTCTTCTTGTTCTAGGTTAGTCTGTTTTATGAACCTGTCCATTAAGAAGTCAACAGAGGTAGGTTAGGGCTTTATATTTAGGGTGCTAAGGTGTTAAGCCTAGAGAAATGTTGTGGAAAGAGGGGGAGTGTCACCTGAACCTTTGGAAAAGCGAAGCTGTTCCTTCGCTTAGATTCAAGCCATACATGTCAAGTGCAAAGGATCAGGATCATCTGTTAAAGTTTTAGTTCAGAAGATTTATTGCTCATGCTTAAACACAATCTAGTCAACTAAAGTTCAAAACTAAATTGGCAGATAAGGATCAACTGGAGGGGTTTGATTCGGACATTTGCAGGAACGTCTCTCTGTCTCTCTCTCTCTCTATATATATATATATTTATATCTTTCTATCTATCTAACTTTCTATATCTTTCTATCTATCTATCTTTCTATCTATCTATCTTTCTATCTATCTACCTACCTACCTACCTACCTACTTACCCCTCTCTCTCTCTCTCTCTCTCTCTCTCTCTCTCTCTCTCTCTCTATATATATATATATATATATATATATCTTTCCATCTATCTAACTTTCTATATCTATCTCTATCTCTATCTTTCTATCTCTATCTACCTATCTTTCTCTCTCTCTCTTTCTATCTTTCTATCCATCTATATAACTTTCTATATCTATTTATCTATCATCTATCTATCTATCTATCTATCTCTTCATTCTCTCTCTAATCTTGTTTCTTTAATCTGTTATATCTATCATATCTCACTCTCTTTCTCTCCCCCTCCCTCCCTTTCTCTCCCTCTCTCTCTCTAATTTGGTAAGAAAATTACAATACAGTAGGGCTACTGTCATTACATTGGGTTAACACACTTCGAGCGAGTACCGCTCCAACACTGGAGAGGGCGTCCCAACGTCTGATTTACTTCTTTTTTTAAAAAAAAATTCTCCCTCCCGGCCCGTCTTGCCGCTTCCCTCTCCAATGCTCCTCCGGAAAACGGAAGCAAGCGCGCGAGCCCTCGGACCGGAAAAAGAAGAAGAAGCGGGGCGCCGGGCGCGCATGCGCGGAGGGGCCGGCCCCGGGGAGGCACGTGAAGGTCGCCCGTCTGCCCGCCCGCTCCATCCATTCAGCCGCCCGCGCTCTCCCCCCCCCCCAACCACTTCCAGCCGGGGCCCGGCATGGACCCGTCGTCCGTCGCGGGGGACTTGGGAGCCGCCGTCAACGACCCGCAGCTGCAGCATTTCATCGAGGTGGAGACGCAGAAGCAGCGCTTCCAGCAGCTCGTGCACCAGATGACGGAGCTGTGCTGGGTAGGGCCGGCGGAACTCCCTGCCACTAGAGCGGGAAAGGTGGAAAAAGGGGAGGAGGAGGAGGAGAAGGACCGCCCCCCCCCGTTAGTACAGGGGTGAGGAGGGTGATCTTCCAACTTACGACCGAGCGAATGAGCTCCCCCCATTGACGTTGCTGAGTGAGACGTTGCTGAAGTGAGTCTTTGCCACGGTCGTTAAGTGAAGCACTGCGGCGGTTTAAACGAGCAACGTGGTTATTAAGCGGATCTGATTTCCCCCCCCTCCCCCTGATTGACTTTGCTTGTTGAGAAGGTTGCCAAAGGGGATCCATGTGACTCCAGGACCTGGCAGCCGTCATAAGTCTGAGTCAGCTCAGCCAAGTAGCTGAATTTGGTGGAGACGCTGCTGCAAAGATTGAAAAATGTTTCTATTTTCAGTGCCCCGTTGTAACTTCGGTCCCTAAATGAACCTTTGTAAGTAGAGGACTAACCTATATCCCAAATGGTGTTTTATTTTTATTTTTTTTCAAGAGGCAACTGGACTTTCTGGTTTTGTTTTTTTTTTGTTGGAAGTCGTTTCGCTTCTCATCCGAGAAGCTTCTTCAACTCTGACTGGATGGTGGGGAAGGGAAGGATTTATATTCCTTGAAGACAGCTGGTCATTTGCATCCTTTTAGAGGGTCACTGAGGACAGAGATAAACCTCCCAAGTGGCCTCAACGACCCTCTAAAAGGATGCAAAGGACCAGCTGTCTGCAAGGAGTATCAATCCTTCCCTTCCCCACCATCCAGTCAGAGCTGAAGAAGCTCCTTGGGTGAGAAGCGAAACGTCTTCGAAGAAAAAAAACAGAAAGTCCAGTTGCCTCTTGAAAAAAAAAAAATAAAGCACATTTCGGAGAACCATGACTTGGATGACTGAGAATCTCCATAGACAGAACTACCTATAGTTTCTCCCCCCCCCCAAGGGACAACTCTCCGCCACTTGATTTATCCCCATTGGGGTAATGGAAGTAATGGGGTGCTGGAGCCATCGGTGCTTTCCTGGAGCTGCCTTCCCGAACCCTGAGGCTCGCCGGCACTTCTGGGGTATCCCCCAAAATGTGGGGGGCACCAGCTTTGAGCAGGCTGGAATAGAGCCTCCAGAGTCAGGAGCAGTCTCCTAGGAGTGGAGTTCCAGCTGCTGCTGGCAATAATAGGGTGCTTCTATAGGGAGAAGAGCTCTTAGCTTCCTGCCAAGCTGACTTCTGGGTGGCATCTAGGAACCAGGAAGCTGCACGGAGTGGCATTCTTCTACGTTTTGTATTGGGAGCTCCTGGTATGCCAATATGTACCGCTTTGCCATTTGGCCTTTATGTGTGTGGCGTTTCTATCCACGCTTTTCTTTGGAAGGCTCAAAGCAGCTTAGATGGGATTTCCCCCCCTCCCCCCCCAATTGGATTCACGCGACAGCCCTGTTAAAGATGGCTCAGGCTGAGCCAGCGGTTCAGAGTCATCCACTGGGTTGCATGATCCAGTGGGTCTCCCTCGGATCTGTGTCTGCCGCCATATCACACTATTACAAACATCGAGCACCATGTCAGCGTCGCCAATTCTACTGTTGAAATCCACTCTTGCTTCTCTCAGTAAAACAAGGGTTATTTTCACCTAACAATGTCATTCAAACTGCTTGTCTGCCGGATTGATGCCATCTTCTGCACTTGAGTTGTCATTTGTGGCAAGTGGCTATCTATCTATCTATCTATCTATCTATCTATCTATCTATCTATCTATCTATCTATTACAAATTGTGCATGTTGAGTTTTTTTGTGGGTGGAAACGAGTCTGGGTACAGTTAGCAGCAATTTGGATAGGCTGAAAAAAAAAGAAAGAAAGCCAGATTTATGTATTTGCTGGTCGCGGGTCTGAGGTTTGAAATCATGGCTTCCCCTCGCTGTTGAATGACTTCTCTTTTGTGACACTAAACAGGAGAAATGCATGGATAAGCCTGGCCCCAAGCTGGACAGCCGAGCCGAGACCTGTTTTGTGAACTGTGTCGAGCGTTTCATTGACACCAGTCAGTTTATTCTTAACCGGTTGGAGCAGACGCAGAAATCCAAGTCGCCCTTCTCCGAAAGTCTCTCTGACTGAACGGAAGGCCTTCAGCGGTGCTGTTTTCTTCATTGGAAAAAGGAGGACGCTGTTTTGAATGGAAGAGGAGGAGAAACAACCGAAGGAAGGATTTTTAACTATGATACGCTGTGAGGGAGCTTGGCCCCCACGTTTGAGATGGACTTCAGGGCTTTCTGGTCACCTAATCTAGTTCTGGTGTTAAAATTCCTACTGGGTGAACACTAATAAACCATGCAACATCGCACACCTGCTATTTAACCCGGACTTCCGCTGTCCTAGATTTTAAATTTGTTTTCCCCTGGATAATGGGAGCTTCATACCAGAATGGTGGCTTAATTATCTTTACCCAGCAGTAAGGTGGGGAAAGCACACTCCTTGAAACTTGAAAAATGTTCTTTTTTGAGATAAGGAGACTGGGAGGCCTCAGATACTAACACAGCTCCGGGGGAAAAGTAGGGGTGCAAACGTGCCTTTAAAACGGTACTGTGCGTAAGCGCGACTCTTTCAAACAATCCAAATGTCACTTGCTTGAATTTTGCAGCCGAGTTAACCTTTGTAAAACGCAGGTGGATCTTGCAGTTGGACAGAGGAGCATTAGGAGATTTGCAAAAGGGTGTCAGTAAGAGACCTGCTGTCTTTCGTGAGGTGTTTTTCCAAACCTACCTCAGCTCAGTAGAAAGAAATACACCCCCCCGCCCCCCAGACGTGTGGCAGTTAAGAGGAGTTGTTGCTCATGTGGTCATGTCTGTCTCTTGCCAAGTACAAAAATCAATCTTGACTTTTTACATCAAATTCCTTGCCTCCCGATCAGTGAAATAAACATCAATTGGATGCATTTTAAACTGTTGAGTCGGTGGTCGTTCCTTCTAGTTTGCCGTAGTTCTGATGTAGAGGGGATGCTTTTAGGAGCAATTGCATGTTCCAGACTAACCTTCCTAAAAAAGTGTGGCTCTCGAAATGAGTTACCGTATTTTTTGGAGTATAAGACGCCCCTTAGTTTTTGGGAGGAAAATAAGAAAAAAGTTGATTGGTGGGTGGATCGGCCTCCCGGAATAATCCCAATCAGCTGTTCCCAGAGGTGAATTTTAGCAACAGGTTCTGTGGTTGTGAGCTCTGTGCCTTGCTTTTTTTTTCTGCCTCTGAAACTTCTGAAACTCTGTTGCTCTTTGTCCACTGAAGGGACGTGGTGGCTCAGTGGCTAAGATGCTGAGCTTGTCGATCGAAAGGTCGGCAGTTCAGCGGTTCGAATCCCTAGTGCTGCCTAACGGGATGAGCTCCCGTTACTTGTCCCAGCTTCTGCCAACCTAGCAGTTCGAAAGCACGGAAAAAATGCAAGTAGAAAAATGGGGACCACCTTTGGTGGGAAGGTAAGAGCGTTCTGTGCGCCTTTGGCGTTGAGTCATGCCGGCCATGTGACCACGGAGATGTCTTCGGACAGCACTGGCTCTTTGGCTTTGAAAGGGAGATGAGCACCACCCCCTAGAGTCGGGAACGACTAGCACATATGTGTAAGGAGAACCTTTACCTTATCACTGACTGGGAATGTATGGCTCCAAGAAAGTTGCAGCTTGCTGGCCCTACTATCTTTTTACCAAAGATCATGAAATGCTGATTTCATTGACGGTGGTAAAGTCATTTGATGTGTTAGACAAAGAATTTTTGGAGAGACGAATGTAAATGTGAGAAGTTTTCATCAGATTTCCGCTATCAATTATTTCACTAGCTTAGACGTGTCTAGCTGTTCCAGATCCTAGAGGGATTGCTACGTTGGTCTGCCAATAACTGATAAAGAAAAATACAGACTAAAAGAAAACATTTCTCTTGTAACTGAGTCTTGGTATCCTAAAACCCAACTCGTGCTAGATGTTTATTCTGTGGCGATCTCTACAATTTTACGAATTGCCTCCATCAGGCTTGTTAACTATTACGTCGTTTTTCTCTTTTTCATGGTCTCATCTATGGCCATCCGAGTGAAAACCAGAAAATTATGGAGGGGAAAAAAAGTCCCACTTTCCAACAATTCATAAATGCAATCACTAAATTTACTAACCTTCAAAAAAAATTTAGAAGGGAGATCTTGGTATATGGGAACGGGAGTGGTTTTTTACCCCCACTTTGAACATGGTTAACTCTGGCTGATTGATGGAAGACCCTCATCTTTGCCTGGCTGCCATATTGTAGCTCTCAAAATTGATATTACAGTATACATATAAAAGGAACAAATAAAAAAACTTTCTTGGGTAAATGTTATGATGGAACCGAGCTGAGTACAAATGGAAAAAGTTGGAAACTTAGAGGCAGCCTTTGTTATCACAGATCAGAAACTGGTCAGGACTGGTATCCCTGACTTATACTGGTTTGGACTAGTAGTATCACTTTCTAGTCCCAAGGCTTGGTTTTCCTAAATTTCCAAAAGAACAACAGTCTACACCAGGTGTCTGTAACCTGCAGCTCCGGAGCCGCATGTGGCTCTTTCATTCCCCTGCTGTGGCTCCCTGTCTGCTGACCCACCATTGGCTGGCCCCCCCCATCGGCCTCCCCTCCCAGTCAGTCCTCACCTGGCCTAAGAAGGTAAGGGCAATTACCTAAGGCAGTGATGGCTAACCTTTTTGCTGTCACGTGCCAAAAGTAGGAGCGCATGTGTGCCTATGCCCATAATTCAATGCGCCCTGTGCATATGGCCCCCCCGTGCTCCCCCCACTTGGCACGTGACACGGGCCCAGTTGGCCATTTTTTCGCCCTCCCCAGGCTCCAGGGGCTTTCTAGGAGCCTGGGGAAGCTGAAAATGGCCTTCCCCACCCTCCGGAGGCCAACAGGCCATTTCCGGCCTCTGGAGGGCCTCGGGGGGGTGGGTGGGGAAGGCTGTTTTCACCCTCCCCAGGCTCCTAGAAAGCCTCGAGCCTGGGGAGAGCGAAAAATGAGCCTCCCCCTCCCCACCGGAGGCCCTCCAGAGGCCAGAAACAGCCTCTTTGCCGACTTCCTGTGGGACCGGAAGGCCCGAAAATCAGTTGGCCGGCGTGGGCATGTGCACTGCAGCTAAGCTAGGAAAACACTCGTGTGCCCACCGATATGGCTCCGTCACGGACCTAAGGTAACACCAGGAGGCACAAAACCTGTAAGTGTGGCTGGGGGTGTGTCGTGACGGTGGGAGTGAGTGATGTAGTTGGCCCCGCCCACCCAGGTTTTGTGGCTCCCGGTGATTTCTTTTCTGTGGGAAAATGGGTCCAAATGGCTCTTGAGTGTTTAAGGTTGCAGACCCCTGGTCTACACGAATCACTTTTCTACACTTAAATGGCCAATCACCCACCTTACATTCTGTGCCGCAGCTAGAATGAAAAACAAAGGAAAGGCGATTTAGGAATTCACTCCAGCGATCGGATTGCCAGCACAAAAATTAGATGGCGGTTTACAAGTCCATTCCTGGACATGAAAAATTGGACTGATATTTTTTTTTTAAGGAAAAAAAAAATAAGCCGAAGAAACACATTTGAAAAATACTCCTTTAATAATGCTTTTAAAAGTCACATTTTACATTTGCAACATACCTTAGTGTCGTATAAAGAAAATACTTTATTTTAAATAATTTGTAAAGCTTAAGGCAAAGCCTATAGAAGGCTTTGTACATTCAAAAGGTAGCAGAATATTGTAATGGATCCAGAGAGTAAGAAAAAAAATGGAATCTTCAGGGTAAAAAACATTTGGGAACACGTCAATAGACTTGTTGCTTATTTTTCCACAGGGTGCCTTGTTTAAACAGCTAAATACTCCCCCTTTATGGTGACTCTGCCTTCAAGGCAGGGGTGGGTTCTTAATTTTTTTACTACCAGTTCTGTGGGTGTGGCTTATTTTGTGGGCATGGCTTGATGGTCATGTGACAATTCTTTAGGATTTAGCAGAGGTATTGGTCTACCAGGCTTTTAACTGCTTGCAGAGCTGTACTGGTCTATCCATTTATTTTTGCAGGCACTGGTCTACTCATGTATGTTTGCAGGCACTGGTCTACCCATTTATTTTTGCAGGCACCAGTCTACTCATTTGTTTTTGGAGGCACTGGTCTACCACCAAACTGCCTTTTACCACTAATCAGCTATAGGGCGGTCCTTTGAACCCCCGCGGCAAGAGTTTAAACAGTTTTTCCTTATAGCCCATCAGCTGGGACTCAGGAGGCAGCAATAGATTGGGGGTGGGGCCAAATAAAAGGTAAGAATAACATGGGAAGGTGGGGTGGGGGGCGGGGGGCAGGGGAGAGCAGAACCGGTTCGGTGATGTCATATCATCACCGCTACCAGCTTGGCGGAACCAGGAGGAACCCACCACTGCTTCAAGGTCAACAGCCATTCCATTTTATTTTCCTCTACATTCTTCCAGTTTGTATCTGTCACTCAGAAGGGAAAGAGGGAAAAAAATATTTGCCTTTTCCATGTTCCTCTCCGTCTTGATGTCAGTCTCTTGCTCCTACCCTTCTTCTCTGGGGTGCCTCTTCCATTCCCACGATGGGACAAGATTTGCTTGGCCATTCTTGGGCTCATGGACGTATTCATATTTTTAAAACAATACACCTATCAGCACATTCCCCCAACCACTTTTAATATAACTATATGCTTTCAACAGTGGTTTTGTAGCTCTGAAGGCTATCCATAGGTAATGGTTCCCCTCGCACATATGTGCTAGTCGTTCCCGACTCTAGGGGGTGGTGCTCATCTCCGTTTCAAAGCAGAAGAGCCAGTGCTGTCCGAAGACGTCTCAGTGGTCATGTGGCTGGCATGACTCAATGCCAAAGGTGCACAGAACGTTGTTCCCTTCTCATCAAAAGTGGTCCCTATTTTTCTCCTTGCATTTTTTAAGTACTTTCGAACTGCTAGGTTGGTGGAAGCTGAGACAAGTAACGGGAGCTCACCCCATTATACGCGGCATTAGGGATTCGAACCGCTGAACTGCCGACCTTTCGATCGACAAGCTCAGCGACTTAGCCACTGAGCCACCGTGTCCCTTTAGGCTATCTATATACCTCCCCCCCAATCCTATCCATGTACACAAAATGTGACTTGGCATGCTCTTTTTTGGAAGCATGAAAAAAAAAGCCAGAGCCACTGCAAGTCTTATCAGCTTGAATCGAATAGGACTACTATCAACTATGCTCCCAGTATAAAAACACTTAAGTGGCCGTGGGAGGAACGAACACAACGACTCTACCACTAGTGGTAGTTAGCTGTGAAACTCACGATCTCCTGAGTGGTAAAATGTCCACATTCCAATTCTCCAGAAGGAAGCAGCAGCCAGGAATCACTTAAGAGCAAAAGCCGACATGTCTGTCCAGTCTGAAGGACTGAGTCAAAAACTGGGAGGCCTTAGCAACAAAGGCGAGACTTACAGACGATTCCCAAAGAGTTCTGCATTGCCGGGGGGCGGGGGGATTCTCCGGGGAGAAGAAATAACCGTTTTAGAAACTTCCGAAAGAACTTAAAAGCAGAGGTCTTCAAACATGGCAGCTTTAAGACTTCTGGACTTCAACTCCCAGCCAGCTATGCTGGCTGGAGAATTCTGGGAGTTGAAGTCCACAAGTCTTAAAGCTGCCAAGTTTGGGGACCCCGTCTTAAAGGATTTTTAGTCAACCTTAGCTTTCATAAACATTGACTGTCTTGGTCCTCTGGTTTCTCCATCCCTTTCGGCAAGTCCTCTGAATCCAGGAGAGGCTGATGAAGACACGAAGTCCCCGGTAGATTTTTCTGCTTATGTTTCAGGAAGACGGGCAGCAGATCTGCCGTGAAAGGCACATCTCTGAAACTGTGGAGAAGGAAGATGCCCAACACGATGGTGAGGAAGCCGCTTATGGTGCCCACGATGTTCATGAGGACCAGATGCTGCCACTCTTTGAACAGAATGGCAGAGCAGGTCATGACAGCTGTGGTGAAGAGGACGTAATAGATGGGGGTGACCACGGAAGTGTTGAAGATGTCCAAGGCCTTGTTCAGGTAGTTGATCTGGACGCTGATGCAGACCACCAAGCTAAGAAAAAGCATCCAGCCTAACGGTTCTTTCCAGACGGCCTTGCCGGCGAACAGCTCTTTCAGGGCAATGCCCAATCCTTTGACGCAAGCAACGGAGAGCGAGCCGACGGACGAACAGATCAGGATGTACACCAGGACGTTCCTCTGCCCGTAGCGAGGTCCGGCCACGAAGATGAGAAGAGCCGAACTCACCAGCACGCAGGTGGCAAAGACGATAAATCCTGCAAGTGGAAGGAAAATAAAAGAGAGGTTTTGTGTCTTGTGCTGTTGTTGTTTGTCGAAGTTACAACAAGCACTGAAAAAAGTATGAGTCCCTTTATTAGCTCCAAGTTTGCCCCCAACATCCTGTTTACTCTCCAGTCTGGAGAAAAACTCTCCCACCAAACGGTAACAGCCGTTGGCTGAAAATACTCCAGTCCAGGCATTATAAACAGAAAATGTCCAACTAAAAATCTAACAAGGCAAGATAAGGTAATCAATCCAGCAGGGCAAGCAAGATAAGGAGTTCCAGAAGTGAAGTAGCATGGTAGTAAATCAAACCAGTTGGGAGGATGCCAGGAACTCAGATAAAGCAGTTAACACAAGATGAACTCAGCGTTTGTTCCCGACAACCGTCCCTCCCATTTGCCTCTCCTTTAAACTCCATCCCCAGGTGTGCCTTGTGAAGGGAATCGGGGCCCTTTCCTCCCTCGTAAGCCACGCAACCTACGTTGCTCTCTTCTCCGTTCTTCCCTGCATGCCTAGGATGAGGAGGAGGTGGGCCTTGGTCTTCATCTGAACCCCCTCTCCCTTAGTTCTACCTCTCCCCTGCTCTGCACAACCTGACTTTGCTCTTCCCCAGTTTCCTCCACAGCCAACGGAGCCACTCTCTTGCTGTGTCAGCTGCTCGTCTTCCCCCTCGGATTGACCGGGGCATGACACTTTTGGCAAGTGGCATGTATTTATGATGGTTGCAGTGTCCCGGGGAGTCCTGTGATCCCCTTTTGCGACCTGACAAGCAAAGTCCACCGGGAAGCCAGATTCACTTAACAATTGTGTTACTAACTTCATCACTGCAGCGATTCACTTAACGTCTGTGGCAAGAAAAGCTGTAAAATGGGGCAAATCTCGCTTAACAACTGTACCGTTTTGCAACAGAAATTTGGGGCTCTATTGTGGTCACGATTCAAGGACATGCCTGCATAGGAATCAGGCTTTCTGTACCTGGATCTTTCAGTTTCTCCAACATTGACTCCAGACTGGCCACCGTTTCCTCTTGAGGAGCATGGATCACCATCACAGTAGATCCCAAAATGCACAAGAGGCACCCAATCTTTCCATGGATGTTCAGCTGCTCGTTCAGAAAATAGGAGGCTAAAACCGCACTTTAGAACAAAAGGAACAACAAGATTAGTTTCCTTGAAGAGAAAACACAGCAGCTAGAGAGACAGTCCTGGACATTAAGGAGTCATCTCTAAGATGTGTCTGACAACATGAATTTGAGCGCTAGCACTGATGGCGCTCCCTAGTTGGGTCATGAAACATCTGCAAGAAAACAGCCAAGCTCAGAGAGCACCAAGGATCCCATCTTTCAACCCCCGAGCTACAAATATTCTCCTTCATAACATGAACTTACCTGACCAAAACACTAAGGGCTCCTAGAGGAGTAACCAGCGTGGCTGGGGCGAAAGCATAGGCCGCAAAATTTGCGGCTTCTCCAATCCCCACTGTAAAATAAAAACAACTAGTCAGAAGTGCAAAAAACAAACCCCTAAATGATGAAATTTCAGGCATTGCTTGTTCTGAGTTTGGCCCAAGGTAGAGTCACTTACGGACTCCTCAGTTGTGAGCCGAAATATTTAGACTTTTTTCCCCCCAAGATACAAAGTGGGTTGGTACCACGGCATCCATTGGGTGGTGTAGGGAGCAAATAACTAAAGTGATAACCTGAAGCACATCCATGAAGTTTCCTTTGTGTGTTTGTGAGTCTTCTAAGTTGATGATGCCCCTAAAATACGATAATATTTAAATGGGATGGGAATCGCTTTTGTAGATTTAAACAATGCAGTTAAAAAACGAACGGCGGGTTTTTTTTGTAGATTTCTTAGCAAAGTTTATGGGAGAGGAATGTTGTGGCCCACCAGCGGCCAGCAGAGCTGGCAGCAGATTCAGACAGTGAGGAGGTTGGGGAGGAACATGGGCCAGTCCTGGAGTCTGGGGAAGGCTCTGATGAGGGCTCTGCATCGGAGGCAGAGAGGGGGCCAGGGCCGTATGCCAGTTATCAGCTGCCTTCGGAATCGGACATCAGTGGGACAGAAGAATAGCTAGAGCCTGTTCCCAGTATGCACATGTGCAGAGTTGTCAGACGAAGGGAACAGCTAAAGAATAAGGGTCGACTTGGGAGTAAGGCCACAGGTGGACGATGAATGGCCCCTCCCAGAGGGAATAAAAGAGGAGCGAAATGGGAGTGGAGTTTGCAGGAGACAATTAGTTCGCTTAATTGGTTCGTGACTCTCAGAGGCTCCTTGCCAAGATATCGGCCTGGCAACTCTCCAAACCAGATAAGTCTGTGACTGTAAATTCTCCCTTGAAAGACTTTGTGAATGAGAAGAATTCACAGTAACTTAATAAAAAGGGTTTTTTTGTTGGGACAAGGAGTCTGCTTCGTGGTTTGGGAACGCCTAGGTCAGAACAAGGAAGCTCCTTCCTCAAGAATGTCTACATGCTGCCACTGGTCTTATAAATTAAAATATTTTAAGGGAAAAGAGAGAAATTTCAAGGTGTACTTACTGGATATTAATCCTCCCCACCATAGCCATTCTCTCAGATATGCATGACCTCCCAGGCCTAAGGGGAAAAAAAAAAAGTGATCAGAAACCGAGAAAGTGGATCACATAAAACAAGAACCTAGTCTGAGAAAAGATTCAACAGTTCTAAGAGAGGAGGCAGCGGAATTCAGTGGGTTTCAAACAAAACCAAAGAGTGTATGGTTTTGTCTTAGAAAGTTTTACTGAAGATATGCACAAAAGTGGAGGGGAAAAAGAAAGCATGTAAAAGCAATAAAACAAAAACCAATTCCCCCCCCCCCCCAACCCCCCCCCCCCGGAGAAAACTGATTCACGTATTCCTCAAGCAGCAAGAAATACTTAAGAGCTTCCCAATTTAAAATGAAAGAAAATGCCCATTCATTAAGTAACATAAGCAGAGGTGTTTGGGAGGCCTGCAGAGTGCTCCTGGGGGCTGGGGAGGGCAAAAACGCCATTTTTTTGCGAAAAATGGGCCTGTTTTTGGCCTCCCAACCCCCCCATGCATTGTATTTGCCCTCCCCAGGCCCCAGGAGCACTCTGCAAGCCTCCCAAACCCTCTGCACATCCCGTTTTTCGCAAAAACGGGACGCGCGGGGCAGGGTTTCGGGAGGCCAAAAATGGCTATATTCGGTGTATTTATTATTTATTTTATTTATTTATTTATTATTCGTATTTCTATGCAGCCCACTCTCCGAGGACTCTGGGCAGCTTACACCAAAGACAGTATACTAAATAGCGTATTGCCCCCAGGAATCTGGGTCCTCGTTTTACCCACCTCGGAAGGATGGAAGGCTGAGTCAACCTTGAGCCGGTGAGATTTGATCCGCTGATCTGCTGAACTAGCAGTCAGCTGAAGTAGCTGCAGTACTGCACTCTAACCCCTGTGCCACCTCGGCTCTTAAGACGTATAAGACGCACCAACATCTCCACCCTCTTTTGGGGGGGGGGAGTGCATCTTATACTCTGAAAAGTAAGGTAATTACATACACCTCCTTCAATCCTGCCCCCTAACGTCAGGACTCATGCTTTTCCAATTCCTCAGAGCAATTCTCTTAGCAAACCCTCAGGGCCCACCCAAGAGGACTACAACTCCTGACAATATTTCAATTCTGCTTTTCTCCTTCTCGTGACCAGCTCCAGATCTACCCTTACCTGCTCTGACAGCCCCTCGGCCACTCAGGCGGAGAAGTCCTTTCTTTTTCAGGATAAAACTACTTCCAATAAATAGGCTGGAGGCGATCGCCAAACCCACACCAACGTAGAATTCGTAATGTCCCGTGAAAGTCCCCATCTGAATTGTTTGGAAGGAAAAAGCCAGAGAGACTGCAGAGCTATCCACAAAAAATGCTGTCTTAAATATTCTGGACTGGTTTTTTTTTTTAAAGTAACTCTTTAATTAATCATCCCAGAGTCATCCACCCACGTCTTAGATACATCTACATGAAATTATGCTGAGACACGAAGCTTCTCTATTTCCTAATCGGGGGTGTGGTAATTTTGTGAAATGTTCTGGTTTTGGTTTACTGAGTGAAAATAACCACTAGGCATTTCCACGATGTAATTTAAGGCAGGTGTGTGTGTGTGTGTGTGTGTGTGTGTGAATTTCCCAAGGCCAAGAATCCTTGGTCCAAAAGCAGCAGAAGGGGTCAGGAGAGAGGAAATGGAACGGAACGGAACGGAATTCCTTATTGGCCAAGTGTGATTGGACACACAAGGAATCTGTCTTTGGTGCATAGGCTCTCAGTGTACGTAAACGAAAAGATATATTTGTCAAGAATCATAAGGGACAACACTTAACGATAGTCATAGGGTACAAATAAGCAATCGAATCATACTAGGAAACAATCTATCATTTCTGTTGAAGGCAGACTCCCCTCCCCTGGTAAGGGCTATCACTCGCTATCTTAAAAGGATGACAGCAATACGAGCCAGTTATATGGAAAAGAATTTCACTGATTGTAAGAAAGATGAGCTGAGTTAGAGAGGAGCTATCTTATTTGGGTTATCTAGTCTTGGCAACTTAGCTATTGAAATCTGATATTGTAAATTGTAAAATTGTAAAATTTTAATGTCATATATCATATATTTTTAAATTGTTATCTGTAACTGTTTTGTCTTTTTCCCTTTTTCTTTTCTGTTTTGTTCGAAAAGGCCTTCAGGCTATTCAATAAACAAATACAAAATACACTTAACGATAGTCATAGGGAACAAATAAGCAATCAAATCATATTAGGAAACAGTCAATTTAAATTGTAAGGATACCAGCAACAAGGTTACCGTCATACAGTCATAAGTGGGAGGAGATGGGTGATAGGAACGATGAGAAGATTAATAGTAGTGCAGATTTAGTAAATAGTTTGACAGTGTTGAGGGAATATACATTGAGGGATATACATAAATAACTGCAAGAATAAATATACAGCCCGTGCAAATCGTCTCCAATCACCTCTTTTAATCATCTCCCCTTTCTGCCCCATTTGAAATCAGAATTGGATAGCAACGGAGAGAGGGCCTGGCCACCCTGACATTACGAATACTCCAATACAAGAGAATATCTGTCATTCAGGACTGTGGAGTCTGCCCCGAGCTTGGTTATTTGCTTGCAGACATTTCATTACCCAACTACGTAACATCATCAGTGCTGCGGAATGTGGGGTAAACACTCCCTATTTATATACCTGCCAGTGCTCGGTGTTTTGCCCTTGATAGTTCCTTCGTCACGCTCATGTTTTCTCCCTGTTGTCTGGTGTTTAATCCCCGCTTAATCTGTGTGGTGTTAGTTACTGGAGAGGTGTGTCTGCTCTTTTTGTTTCCCTTCTTAGCTTTTTCCTTCTCTCTTTCAAATAGCTGGCAAATGTGGTTTAGCTCCATGAGTCTGTTGATAGCGGATTTGTCTGAATGCCAGGCTTATCTCCAGAGGTTGTGGGTGCTCCCTCACTGGAGGATCTCAGGAGGACACGGGACAGCAATTTATACAGATTGATATAGGGTCTCCTATTTGAGCAGGGGGCTGGACTAGAAGACCTCCAAGGTCCCCTCCAACCTTATTACTCAATCTTCTATATTCTAAGGACTCTATATTCTTAGAATATATAAGACTATACATACATACAATAGATAGATAGATAGATAGATAGATAGATAGATAGATAGATAGATAGAAGAGAGAAAGAAAATGTATTTGCTGTCGAGAGAGAGAGAGAGGGAGGGAGGGAAGGAAGGAAGGAAGGAAGGAAGGCAGGCAGGCAGGAAGGAAGGAAGGAAGGAAGGAAAGAAAGGAGAGAGATAGATAGAGGAAGAAAGAAAGAAAAAGAAAAAGAGGGAGATAGAAAGAAAAGAAAGAAAAAGAGGGAGAGATAAAGAAAGAAAAAGAGGGAGAGTGATAGGAAAGCAAGAAAAAGAGGGAGGGAGGGAGGGAGAGAGAGAGAGAGAGACAAAGAAAGAAAGAAAGAAGGAAAGAAGGAAAGAAAGAAAGAAAGAAAGAAAGAAAAAGAAAGAAAGAAAGAAAATATTCTATATTCTTAGGAATACTTTCCACAAACCATGGTTGAATCAACAGAGGACCTTTCAGGGTCTCAGTCAGAGAGCGGCTCGCCCTCAAACTGGGCATACCTCCTTGCCTGGGCGGGCACGATGGGTATTGTAGTCCAAAGGAAGGCTGATGATCTGTTTCCCTTCCAACATTTTCAGCCTCACAACCCCTCCCCCCCCAGCCGCCCACTCCATCACTGGACGTTTTTAAAGAACATCGCTTATTATCTACATTGCTAGAGGACAGGTTCTCCTGCTTGAGCAGGGGGCTGGACTAGATGGCCTCCAGGGTCCCTTCCAGCTCTATTCTACTCTTATCAGAGTTATTGCCTCCCCCAAATACAGAATGACCACGACCCCCCCTCCTCCCCTCCATCCAACCCCAGGCTCCTTTTTCCCTCCCCCCCTTCCCAACTCACCCCAAATCTAGAGGACCCCTCCCCAAAAAGCCGAGGAAGGCGAGCAACTCCGGCGCTCCCGGTTCGGACAGCAGGCAGCGCTGAGCTCCCTTATTATTATAGGGCAAGCGATGAGCATGCGCAGAAGATCCCCTCCATATTTTCCCCTCCCTCCCCTTTCTAGCCGCGGCTCCGCCCCTTCCGCTTCCGCATCTTGAACGGTCCAGGCTGGAGGCCGTGACCGGAAGCAGGTGAGTCCGGTTTGTGGGGGTCCCTCGTCAAGCTCCCCCACCCTATCCCTGCCCCAACGAGGGAGAGACCCCCAGAAGGAGCCCCTTTGGAGCAGCCGGGGGTCCTAGGTCTCCTAGGCGTCACTCCCCCCCCCTCCCCGCATCTGGGGGGGGGGGGAGCATAGCTTTGGAGGGCCGGTTTTGGGGGGTGTCTTAATTTCCCCTCCCATTGGGGATGGGGGGTCGAGGGTGCTTTTGGGGTCGGGATTGGCGGGATTGGTTTTTTTTCCCCCTCCCTCCTTCCTTTTCCACCAGGATTTCTTCACTTTGGCAACTTTGGACTTCAACTCCCAGAATCCCCCAGTTCTAAATGTGGCTGAGGGTGGGAAAGAATCCCTTCCCGGGGAATTCTGGGAGTTGAAGTCCACCCTGTAGGGATGAAGGAGGATATATTTGTAGCTCAGGGTTGGAGGAGATGAGGGGGCTCCTTGCCCGCCCTCCCCCCCCAACATTGACAGGGATATAAACAGTGAGCAAATCCCATTCCTTACTAGCACTGATGGTGTTACCTAGTTGGGTCATGAAACGTCTGCAAGAAAACAACCGAGCTCAGAGCATCAAGGACACTATAGTCCTCCCTCCCTCCTCCATTCCGCAAATCACACTCCCTTCTAGCACTGATGATGTTACCTAGTTGGGTGAAGAAACGTCTTCAAGAAAACAAGCTCAGAGAGCACCCAGGACCTCACAGTTCTCCTCCTCTTCCTCGTCCTCCTCCGTCCTCCTTTCTCCTCCATTCCACAGATCACACTCCTATTTAGCACTGATGATGTTACCTAGTTGGGTCATGAAATGTCTTCAAGAAAACAACCAAGCTCAGAGAGCACCCAGGACCTCACAATCCTTTTCCTCCTCCTCCTCCTCCTCCTCCTCTTTCCATTCCACAAACCACACTCCCTTCTAGCACTGATGATATTACCTAGTTGGGTCATGAAATGTCTTCAAGAAAACAACCAAGCTCAGAGAGCATCAAGGATCCCTCAAGTCCAGCTGTCTTAAAGCTGCCCTCAATGGGGAAACACTGGGTTAAATACTGGGGTGGGTGGGGTGGGGAGGGGATGAAGGGAGGCGGTTTCTGTCCCTGGAATGCATACAGCCCTACAGCCTGCACTGGTCCTTCTAGTTGGCGTATGTCTTGAGTCCAGGCAGTTCTGGCTTGCTTCTAAATCATGGTTCGACCAAACCTGGTTAATTTCAAGGTTTGATGCAGGACAGTCCATGTAGTCTTTTGCTCCTTTCCCCCCCTGAAGACGTTGGAAGATGTTTTGCCTGCTTTTGCAATACTGGATCTGGCCTACAGAACTGCATTCCTGTCCCAAACTATTCCTTTATAAATTAAAAAACAACATTTTGGGATTGTGCCTCTTCCGTTTTCCTGCGGATGGATAAACGCTGAGCTGAGCTGAGAATCTCAGCTGATTTGTGGGGTGATATATTCCTAAATATGAAGTTCTGCAGGAAACAGATTCAAGAAAGTGTCCCGTATGCTTTTTATCACAGAAATAACATCTCATTCCAAGAACAGAAGACCGTATGATTTATTTATTTATTATTATTATTTATTAATTAAATTTCTATACCGCCCTTCTCCAATAGGACTCAGGGCGGTGCACAGCCAAGATAAAAACAAAGCATACAAAATTTAAGAACAGTATTAAAATAATTAAATATTTTGGCCGAAATTAAGATAACCCAATTTAAAATCAATTTAAAATTTAACTCAGGCCAGCCCAGTATGATGTGTTTAAACCCCCTTACATAGCAATACGTTGATCTGCAGATACTCCCTGGTTGTTGTCGTTGTTGTTTTTAAAACAAACTCTTTTTCTTTGCATTTACGTTTAGTATTTTTGAATGATACAAGTTTTTATAAACCTTTGCCTGGAGCAAGAAGAGGAGGAATGGCGTCTGCAAGTAAATGTGTTTGTTTTACGTTTCTCTGGTGGCGGGTCTTTATTTTCTCTCTCTCTCTCTCTCTCTCGAAGATGTGCTGATTTTGGTGCAAAAGCTGTTCTGCTTTTCTAAAACGAGGCCCGGGAGAATCGCAGACTCCTGATGGGTGTGTGGGTGTGATGGCTGTGCTTTGCCAGCTTTTACGAACATGGATCGAATCGTTCCTTGTGACAGTACTAATTTAATGGGAGCGGATCTTTCCTTCCTTTCTGTGCTCCAGCAAGTGGCAGGATCTGTTCTCCAGTGTCTGCATTTGTCACGCTTCAAACCATCGAGTTTCGCTCTGTTCTTCTTATTGCTCCAAATCTGTATTTCTGGCCTCCCGGTGGCACCTTATTTGAAAGAGCTAAGAAGGCGTTTTGCTTGTTGGCTTAAGATGGGCAGGGAGGGGAAGAGAGAGGAACAGATCCCTAGCTGTCCTTTTTTAAAAAACAATTTTAAATTTAAGTTTATTATTTTTATTTCTCATAAAACATATATAAATGTACAATCTCTTTACAAACTCCTACCCTCAAAACAACGCTATAGAGCACTGCGCACCAGAACAACTAGACACAAGAACAGTTTTTTTCCGAATGCCATCACTCTGCTAAACAAATAATTCCCTCCACACTGTCAAACTATTTACTAAGTTTGCATTACTATTAATCTTCTCATCATTCCCACCACCCGTCTCCTTCCACTTATGACTGTATGACTGTAATTTTGTTGCTTGTATCCTTACGATTTATATTTATATTGTTTCCTGATTGCTTATTTGTACCCTATGGCTATCATTAAGTGTTGTACCTTATGATTCTTGACGAACATATCTTTTCTTTTATGTACACTGAGAGCATATGCACCAAGACAAATTCCTTATGTGTCCAATCACACTTGGCCAATACAAAATTCTATTCTATTCTATTCTATTCTAGTCTAGTCTAGTCTAGTCTAGTCTAGTCTAGTCTAGTCTAGTCTAGTCTACTCTATTCCTACTCTACTCTACTCTACTCTACTCTACTTCTATTCTATTCTATTCTATTCTATTCTATTCTATTCTATTCTATTCTACTCTACTCTACTTCTATTCTATTCTATTATATTCTATTCTATTCTATTCTATTCTATTCTATTCTATTCTATTCTATTCTATTCTATTCTATTCTATTCTATTCTATTCTATTCTATTCTCCATTCTTATCACCACATATTATCTTTTGGTTTCCATATTGGTTCATTCTTCATCCTAAAAGTTTAAAATACATTCGGCGTTGCTCTTCTACGATTCCATATCTCCCTTCTTCCACAGCAACCATTCCTCTCCGTCCCTTCTTCTCTTACCCTTCCCTCACCTCTCCTTCTCTTTCCCTTCCCTCACCTTCTATTCTTTTCAACTTTCTTCTTTCCTCCTCTCCTTCCCCTTCCTCTCCCCCACTCCTCCCCTCTTCCTCTCTTTCTAACCCTCTCTCCTACTCTTACTTCCCCTTCCTTCCTTTCTTCCTCTCCTTTTCCCTTTCTTTCTCTCTTTTCCTCCCTTCTCCTCTCTCCTTCCTACCTGTCCCTCTACTCCTCTCTCCCTTCCCTCTCCATTGTTGTGTCCATTTTCAATTCAATATTTTGTCAAGATGGTATTCGATAAAACCCCGATCTTATATTTACCCACATTTTCCTTTCAATTTCTTTTCTCTTTTGCTGGTTAGACATATATCATCCTTAACATGCATTTATATAGTACCTCTTTTTTCATTTTCCTCTTCCTTCCCCCTTTTTCATTTACTCCGGTGTCATTTGAATTTCTATTTTTGTTGTTGTTGATATTTTCTCTCATTTATTCATGTTCCTTTTCTAGCCAATCATAGAAACGTCCCCATGTCTTGAAGTACACCGATTCCTTTTCATCTTTTATTCTTAATGTTAACCTGTTCATTTCTGCACATTCTAAAATTTTCTTTATTACTGTATCTCTCTCTCTAGCTGTCCTTTTTTTGAAGCTGTGCAAACATTAACGTATTCTGGTTTAAGTAGAAGCAACGTCATCGTCTTTACTTAAGTAATGGAAATAAGCCGAGCGGGTGCAATGAGCTAAGGAAACCATTCTGCTTTCAAATTTAATGGCTCCTGATGCAGCTCGGGCCTACGAGGCTGAAATTGGACTTTTCAACACATGTCCCGAAGGCGCTTTTCCCAAAAGGCAACTGGACTTTGTTTTTCCTCAGAAGGCGTTTCTTTCTTTCTTTTTTTTTTTTTAAATTTGATTTATATGCCGCCCTTCTCCGGAGACTCAGGGCGGCTTACAATGCGTTAAGCAATAGCCTTCATACTTTTGTATATTTATACAAAGTCAGCTTATTGCCCCCACAAACTGGGTCCTCAATTTACCTACCTTAGAAAGGATGGAAGGCTGAGTCAACCTTGAGCCTGGTGAGATTCAAACTTACAGTAATTGTAGACAGCTGGAGTTAAATTACAATGCATTAATCTGCTGAACTATCCAGGCTCCTTTCGCTTCTCATCCAAGAAGCTTCTTCAGTTCTGACTTTCAACGTTCTCTCTGTGGATTTGACCATAGAGCAGGGTTTCTTAACCGTAGCAACTGGAGCACAGGTGGATTCCCGGTGTCAGAACTGAAAAAGCTTCTCGCATGAGAAGCGAAACGTCTTCAAGGGAAAGTCCGGTTGCCTTTTTGGAAAAGCACCTTTGGATAACCGTGACTTGAGCGATGGAGAATCTCCATAGATATTCGCTTCAACACACGGCGTAATGCCTTGGTTCTCTCCGATAAGGTGCTTCCGGATGGAATATATTTGTTTGCACCGCTCTTGTGTGATGGCTAGCAGCTCAGCAAGTTGCATAGCAGTGCTCAGGAAAAGCGCTTGTTCAACGGTTGTTTAACTCTTGTTTATTTTTCTTGTCTTCTCAACCTCTAAGAAGTGAGGATGACCAAGAACAAGGATAACATCCCCCACGAGTTAGAAAGCCAGTTTGTTTTGCGGCTGCCTCCGGTAAGTGACCCGAAGAATAGAATAGAAGAATAGGAATAGGAATAGGAATAGAATTAATAGAATAGAATAGAATTAGAATAAGAATTAGAATAAGAAATAATAGGAATAGAATAAGAAATAATTAGAATAGAATAGGAATAGAATAAGAAATAGAATAAGAAATAATTTAGAATAGGATTAGAATAGGAATAGAATAAGTAAAGAATAGAATAGAAATAGAATAAGAAATAATAGAAATAGAATAGATTAGAATTAGAATAAGAAATAATTAGAATAGAATAGGAATAGAATAAGAAATAGAATAAGAAATAAGAGAAAGAGAAATAATAGAAATAGAATAAATAGAATAAGAAGTAATTAGAATAGAATAGGAATAGAATAAGAAATAATAGAAATAGAATAAGAAATAATTAGAATAGAAATAGAAATAGAATAAGACAGAATAGAAATAGAATAAGAAAGAATAGAGAATAGGAATTAGAATAGAATAGGAATAGAATAAGAACTAATAGAAATAGAATAAGAAATAGAATAAATAATTAGAACAGAATAGAAATAGAATAAGAAAGAATAGAAATAGAATAGAGTAGAATAGAATAGAATGTTGGAAGGAACCTTGGAGGTCTTCTAGTCCAACCCAAATGAGTAAATGCTAACCACCTACCGTTTTGCTGTGATTCCTGGTTATGTCTGTAACGGTCCCTTGATCTTGGTTCTCGCTGCCTCTCTGTTTAGGAATATGCTTCTACGGTGCGGAGGGCTGTTCAGTCTGGGAGCGTCAACTTGAAGGACAGGCTCACAATTGAATTGCACGGTAAGGGGACAACACCAGCCGCTTTTAATTTTTCTTCCTTTTTTTAGAGAGAGAGAGAGCATATAAACAAACACAAACATAAAATAAAAATCTGGTACAGGTAGTCCTTGACTTACAACCATTCGTTTAGCGACCGTTCAAAGTTACAGCGGCACTGAAAAAAGGTGACTTTTGTGACTGTTTTTCGCCCTTATGACAGTTGCAGCAAAATCCCATGGTCACAGCATCAGAATGTAGAAGCTTGGCAACTGGCATGTACTTATGACGGTTGCAGTGTCTCCTGGTCACATGATCAGCTTTTGTGACCACCTGACAAGCAAAGTCAATGGAGAAGCCGGATTGCCTTGACAGTTGTGTTACTAACCTCACAACTGAGTGATTCAGTTAACAGCTGTGGCAAGAAAGGTCATAAAAACGGGGCAAAACTCAATTGTCTCACTTAGCAGTGGAAATTTTGGGCTCAGTTGTGGTCGTAAGTCGAGGATCACCTGTAACATAAAAGAATAAAGGATGGAAGAGTAAGCAAGAAATCTAAAAATGTCAAGAAGGTTACTTGGAGTTTTCTAGTATATCATGAGTAAATTTCCCCCTTCTTTCCACAGCTATTTAGTATTGTGTTATTGATACTTATTTCTTAGCTGCTTGGATCTGTATTGTCTAGAAGTTTTCTTACATGACAGGTGTCCTGAAATCATATTTTTAATAGCCAGGTTTTCTGCCTTAGCCACAAGATTATGTGATAATCCAGATTGGTCAGTAAAAGCCCACTCATGTATTCAATGGTTACAGTGTTATTATATTTTGATTGCATTGGATTTTTGTCCTGGTCTTGGACCATAGTAAAATATTGTTCTAATTTTCAAACTGTTGCCATTGCAGTTCATTGACTTTGAGTAGTTCATTCAGGGGTGGGGCTGCTGGGGGTTCGCAGGGGTTCGGGAAAACCACTAGCTAAGATTCTGTGCAGTTCAGAGAACCCCCCAAATCCCACTCCTGGCTGGCCCTGCCCACCCTGCCCCTCCCAGGAGTCCCCACACGGCCCATTTTGGATGCAGGTAAGTGCAGGGCACTCGCAGAGGCTTGGGGAGGGCGAAAAACGGGCCTACCGGAAGTTCGGGCCCATTTCCAGCCTCCGGAGCCTGGGAAGGTCGTTTTCGCTCTCCCTGAGGCTCGAGAAAAGCCTTTGGAGCCCGGGGAGGGCAAAAACGCCCCCTGCTGTGGTGCAGAAGGCCGACTAGGCCACACCCACCATGGCCACGCCCACCCAGCAACCGGGCAGAGAACCCCTGTCTAAAATTTTTGAAGCCCACCCCTGAGTTCATCCCATGCTTATCCTTTCGGGGACAAATTTCTTGAGACTTGAAAGCATTTGAATGCTGTCTAACATCTCATTTCACTGCCGTTTCTAAGATAGGGAGAAAAAAACGAATAGGAAAGCGTTTTCTAAATGGGGTCTTCCCCATCATTAAAAAAAAACCACACACACACACATTTCGCTACTTTTAGATCTGGTTCACCTATAATGGAAGTAACGTGATGGTCTGAGCCCATAACCTTGTGTCTTCCAATTGCTAATGAAAAATTACTCAACGGTTGAATGTTTCATAGGTACCACAGGGGTGTCAAACTCGATTTCATTGAGGGCCGTATCAGGGTTGTGTTCGACCTCGAACACAGGGTGTGTGGGCGTGGCCGGGGGGCGTGGCCAGTTTGACATCCGTTTTCGGCTGTGACGGCCTCCTGCAGCCCTCTGCCAGCGAAAATGGATCTGGTGGGGCATGCATGGCCCTCCTGAGCTCCATTTTCGACCACGACAGCCTCTGCCAGCGAAAACAGAGCTCAGAGGGGCCGCTCGCAGAGGCACCCTGGGCTGGTCATTCGCTGTTTTCCAGGGCGGCCCCGCTGGCCAGATCTAAGCACCCCGCGGGCCAGGTCCGGCCCGTGGGCCTTGAGTTTGACACCCCTGACATAGCAATTGTCCCGTTTCCCTGTTCCTGCAGCGGATGGGCGTCATGGAATTGTGCGAGTAGACCGTGTCCCCTTAGCTGCCAAGTTGGTGGACTTGCCCTGCACCATGGAAAGCTTGAAAACCATCGATAAGAAGACCTTCTACAAGACGGCTGACATTTGCCAGGTAGATGCTCTCCACCAATCAGAAAGATGATCCGAGATGAATTTGCTTTTCATTTTCGTAGGCACGTTTTCATTTTCGTAGGCACGTCTTCATTTTCAGCTCCACTCTTAAATCTGTATTATTATTTTTCTCCAAACCACAAATACCATATTTTTTTCACAGTATAAGACGCTCCGGAGTATAAAACACACCTTAGTTTTTGGGGAGGAAAATAAGGGAAAAAAAATTCTGCCTCTGCCTACCAGCATCCATCGGTATTCATCTGGCTAGCGTCCTGTCAATGTGTGAGAGAGTTGAGGGCTGATTGGAAACCGAAACAGTATTTGCTGTGTGAGCAACAAGCAAGGAGCCTGGGCATGGCTTAGGTCAACTGTTCTAAAGCTGCATGCTGTGCTGATCTCGGAAACTAAAACTGAAACTGAAACTCCTCTCCTCTGCTTGTGTTTTGCTTGTGTTGTAAAACCTGCTTTTGGTGTTGTATATTTACTTTATATTATATATATATAAAGAGGAGTTATTGAATCCTGCTGAATCAGTTAACTTGTGTGTGCTTTCTGGATGTGATTGCTGCTGCAAACACTGACACGTCCTTGCAGCAAATAGTGAGCAGCCAGGTCAGCTTCAGCACATTATTGCAGCCTGATTCAGCACGAGCAGCTGATTGGCGGGTGGATCGGCCTCCCAGAATACCCCCAATCAGCTGTTCCAGGCTGCAGGGATTGCCACAGACCATTGCCTCCTCCATGCCTCGCGTTTTTGGCTACATTTGGTGTATAAGACGCACCCAAATTTTCACCCTCTTTTTTTCAGGGGGAAGTGTGTTTTATACTCCGAAAAATATGGTAATTATGGAATATAGTTTATCTTAACAATTCTTTGAGGATGCAGTATTTCTAATAAACTGCCATCCTAGAGCTTAAAACTTGCATTAGTTCGGGATTGATAGAAACTTGGAAGGGTTGAAAAGGGGATTAGACAACTTGATGGTGGATTAAAGGTGTTGGTTACCACCTTTAAAGTGCTCCATGGCATTGGACCTGGATACCTTCGAGACTGTCTTCTGCCACCAGTAGCCTCCCACCGGCCAGTCCGCTCCCACAGAGAGGGTCTCCTCAGGTGCCATCGGCCAAATTATGTCGGCTGGCGACACCCAGGGGGAGGGCCTTCTCTGTGGGAGCCCCTGCCCTTTGGAATGAACTGTCCCCAGAAATTTGTAAAATCTCTGATCTCCATGTATTTCGCTGTGCCCTCAAAACCTTGTTGTTCCGCCAGGCTGGGCTATCAATGTAAAGATTTTAATTGGTTTTTAAATATGGGATTTTAAATTTGGGGTTTTATAATTGAGCCTATCATTTAATAATTTTAATTATTTTTAAATTTTGTCTGTCTTTGTGCTTTTAATCAGGCTGTACACTGCCCTGAGTCCTTCGGGAGAAGGGCGGTATAGAAATGAAATAAATAAATAAATAAAAATAAATGAAAGAAAGGCAGTGGCAATTAGCTATGAAGATTCAGAGCCACTCTGAAGATATTAGCGTCTATCTCCAATACTGAGCTATTTGTCCTCATATTACGAATTTCTCACTGATAACTGATTGATTGACCACTCTGACAAGACTGAACTAAGGAAGCCTCTAGTTTGATCCAACAGAACTGTTGTGGCCTGCTGGCGGCCAGTGGAGCTGGCAGCAGAGTCAGACAGTGAGGAGGTTGGGGAGGAACATGGGCCAGTCCTGGGGGCTGGGAAAGCTCAGACGAGGGCTCTGCGTCGGAGGCAGAGAAGGGAGGTAGACAGCAGTGAGGCAGAGGAACAGCTGGAGCCTGTTCCCAGTGTGCGCATGCGCAGAGCTGCCAGAAGACAAGAACAACTAAGAAAGCAGGGTCAACTTGGGAGTAAAGCCACACCTTGGGGGTGATTGACCCCTCCCATAGGAAACAAAAGAGGAGCGAACAGAGAGTGGGTTTTTGCAGGAAACAATTTGGTCGTCCGGTCATTGCAAGAGTGGAAAGATCTGTTCGTGACTCTAAGAGACTCTATGCCAAGTTTTGCTTTACCCTGCGTTTGGAAACTAGTTACCTGGCAGCTTTCCAAGCGAGATAAGGTCTGTGTTAATAAATATTCCTCTGAAAGACTGTTTGCCAAGCCCTGCTGACTTTGAATGAAAGGAATTCACTGTCGTGTAAATAAAATGGGTTTTGCCGGGACCAGGACTCTGCTTCCTGCTTTTTAAGGAAGCCTAAGTCAGAACAAGAACTTTCCTTGGGCTTTTACACCTTCCAATTTCTTTCTGATAACAGTCAGTTACCCTTTTATTTCTGTGGCGGAGTTCAGATGCTTGTGTGCACTGTGGATGGAGACCTCTACCCTCCTTTGGAGGAACCACCCGTTAGTACTGATGCTAGAGCCAACAAGAAGAAGGATAAGGACCGGGAGAAGAAGTTTATCTGGAATCATGGCAGTGAGTAGCTCTTGGGTCATTTACCTACGCTAAGGAGCCTTAATCTGGGCATTGTCATCTGCCTCTATGCCAGTGATGGCTAACCTTTTTCTTGTCATGTGCCAAAAGCGTGCACGCATGCCGGCACCCATAATACAATGCTGGGCCCCCTGCGCATGCACACACAACCTCCCCACGCTCTCCACGCACCCCTATGCATGCACATGTGACCCCCGCCCCCTGTTTTGGGGCTAGTAGACCTCCCTGCAGCCTCCTGGGCGAAAAATGGGCTGCAGAGGGGCGCTGCACCCCCCAATGCCCCATTTTGGGCCTAGTAGGCCTCCCTGCAACCTTCTGGGCCCAAAAACGGGCCGTGGGGGGCGCACTGCATTTCCCACGCCTTGTTTTGGGCCTAGTAGATCTCCCTACCCAACCTTCTGGGTCCAAAAACAGGCCGTGGGGGGCGCGCCACACCCCTCCCCACCTCCTCGCACATGTGTGAGTGACTCCCCCTCTCCGCATGTGCATGCATTTTCCCGCATGTGCCCCGCTCCCCCGGCACATCCTGAAAATCAGCTGGCCAGCAGGAGGCGCGCGCGCACATCTGTGGTGAAGCTGAGCTGGCCGATGGCTCGCATGCTCACAGAATAGGCTCCGCGTGCCATTTGGCACGCATGCCACAGGTTCGCAATCACGGTTCTATGCGCTCACCATTCCTCATGAAGGATGATGAGACCCATTGATCTTCCTGTCGTTGGTTCAGAACGCTAGCCTCTCTTCTACATTCCCAAGAGCCCGGTTGGCTGCATCCTCCTGTTCCGTCTTCCCTTTGCCAATCGATTTGTTGTGTTCTTGCAGTTACGCTCCCGTTGAAGAACGTCCGAAAGAGGAGGTTCCGAAAGACGGCTAAGAAGAAGGTGAGTTATGTAGGTGAGCCTTCGAGAGTGGTTGCTTAACGGAAGCCGGGGCCAAAATGTAAAGCACAATTGGAAAGTTGAGTCAAGGATAGACAGTACCTTGGTTTATTCTTATGTTGTTCTAGGACAGTGTTCACCAACCGGTGGTCCGTGGACCACTGGTGTATTTGTGAGAAAATTTTGGTGGTCTGCAGAAAAATTATTTGCATTTTTTTATATTGCACTAAATCAAGGGTCCTCAAACTATGGCCCCTGGGCCGGATACGTGAAATGAATGTTTGTGTTGCTGAAGAGGGTCTCTGTGATGGACAGCAACGAGGCTGAGGAAGAACATGGGCCAGTCCTGGAGGCTGGGGAAGGCCCAGATGAGGGCTCTGCATCAGAGGCAGAGATGGGGCCAGGGTCATCGGGGAGTGAGGTGCGGACTCCAGAGACTGATAGGAGTGAGGCAGAGGAACTGGAGGAGCCTGTTCCTAATGCACACATGAGAAGAGCTGCCAGAGCTGCCAGCAGCTCAAGCAAAGAGGACAACTCAAGAGTAGGGCCAAGAGATGATTGGCCGCTCCCATAAGGCTTAAAACAGACCAGCAACGGCGTTTGGGCTTTGCCGGAAAACAACGTTGGTAGCTTTGTCGTCTTCTTCATCTACGTCTTGTATTTATTTTTGTCTCTGTGACTTCTGAATGTTTGCCAAGAAAGGCCTTTGGCAGTTTGCCTAATTGGACCAAGGTTTGCAATAGGACTGAGGAATTTGCGTTGGGAGGAATTTGCTTTAATTTAGTTGAAAGATGCTGGGAATGAAGTAATTCTCAGCTGTTCGAATAAAGTTTGTTTGTTTTTTCACTGACTAATTTTCCTACTGCTTACTTGGGCCTTGGGCCATCACACAATCACAATTGTGCAGAAGTGAACATGAAAGGTGAGGTTGATGGCTATACACCGATGTGCCCAACAGCAGAAAGTTAGGGGAGAAATAAAACTCTTAATGCAGAAGTTTCTGCTCTAGAGACAGAAACTCAGCTGGTAGTATACAATCTCTCTCTTTTTTTCCCTCTTTTTTCTGTCACAGTATATCGAGTCTCCAGACGTAGAGAAAGAAGTGAAACGTCTTCTCAGCACGGATGCCGAAGCCGTCAGTGTCCGTATCCTTTTCCCTCCTCCCTCGTAAGATTTGCTTTGAAATGAATGCAGGCAGTCCTCGAATTAAGACCACAATTGAGCTCCAAATTTCCATTTTGCTAAGCAAGGAGGTTAAGTGAGTTTTGCTTGACTTTATGCCCTTTTTGCTACCGTTGTTAAGCAAATCACAGAAGTTCTTAAATGAACCATGGGATTGTTAAGCGAATCCGGCTTCTCGTTGATTTGTCGAAACCCTGCTGGGAAGGTTACAAATGGTGATCATGTGACCGAGGGACAGTGCAGCTGTCGTAAGTACATGCCAGTTGCCAAGCGCCTGGATTTTGATCATGTGACCACGAGGATGTAGCAAGTGAGCATGTAAAATGGTCCAAAGTTGCTTTTTTTCAGTGCCTTTGTAACTTCAAACATCTGGGTACAAATTTTTGTGTCATCATAATATATATATATATATTTCTTTGCTTTTACATTTCAATTGAATATATCTCCTGTTAGAACATTTTTCTTCCGGATTTATTTAATTTGGCACTGCTTTTTGTCCATATTCATTTTCTATCCAATAATAAAATTGCCCCCATATGTTATAATATTCCGATTCTTCCTTCCCTTTAATTGCTAACGTTAAGCTATTCATTTCTGCACATTCTAATATTTTCTTAATTACCTCCGTAGGGATTTTTTTCTGCTTTCCAATTTTGTGCAAATACAATTATTACATGAATAATCAAGTATTCATTTTCTTTACTAATTTCCTAAAGCAGAACTTCCCTTCATTAAATTGAGTAAGACTGGTGGGGGAAATTGTAAGAATATTTTTCCAACATGGATTCGCATTCTGTTTCTTGACGCGCTTCCCGATTAAATGGACTTTTCCTTAATCGGTCTGTGCCTGAATTCAGGCTGGGAAGTGATTGCCGAAGATGAAACGAAGGAAGCCGAGAATCATGGGTCATTTACAGGCCTGGATATTTCTTCTCCTGGCATGACCGGACATAAACAAGGCCATGGATCTTCAGGTATGGTCACATTTTTAGGATGCTACCCGAGGGTTGCCAATTCTTGAAAAGCCACTAGATGGCGGCAAAGGATTAGTATTTCCTCCAGCTCTCTATTGCTCCCTTGTGATTCTCTGGAGTTTTGCAGTCTGCTCAGGATAGTCCTAACCAAATGGCTCTTTATATAAGGGGAGGGGGCATTGGGGTATAGAGACCAGACTAGCCAGCCTTCTCAGCAAGACACGATGGGGTACATTCAGGGGTGGGATTCAGCTGGTTTGGATCAGTTCAGGCAAACCGGATGTTAATTTTACATCTGGTTTGCTGAACCGGTAGTTGCTAGGACTGGCTGGCCCCGCCCACCCCTCCCAGGAGTCTCTACATGGCCTGTTTTGGATGCCAGGTAAGTGCAGGGCCTGTGCGGAGGCTCTGGGAGGACGAAAAACAGACCTCTCGAAAGTCCGGAAACGGCCCCATTTCCAGGCTGTGGAGGGCCTCCGGAGCCCGGGGGAGGCCATTTTCGCCCTCCCAGAGGCTCAAGGAAAGCCTCCGGAGCCTGGGGAGGGCGAAACTACCACCACCACCACCACCACCACCTACTGTGGTGCAAGAGGCTGAGTAGGCCACGCCCACCCAGCAAGCGGGCAGAGAACCAGTTGATAAAATTTTTGAATCCCACCCTTGGGTACATTGAGGAATGTTTTGGCTCCTTTTTTTCCTTCTCTTTCCAACCAGCAGAACGTGACGAACTCCGGGAGATGTTCAATGAAATCAGCAGCAGCAGCAGCGATGAAGAAGAGAGAGATCACCATGACGACGAAGATCTGAACGTGATGGATACAGAGGAAGACTTGGAGAGGAGGCTGCAGGGCAAGCTGAACGAATCCAGTTCCCAGCAGCAAGAGAACGAAGGAACCAGCCAAATCGGTTAGGAGCCGGTGGGGAAAGGAAGGTGTTCTACGACAGGGGTCTCCAACCTTGGCAACTTTAAGACTTGTGGGACTTCAGCTCCCAGAATTCCCAGCAAAGCTGGCTGAGGAACTCTGGGAGTTGAAGTCCACAAGTCTTAAAGTGTTGTGGCCCGTACGCGGCCTGTGCAGCTAGTAGCTGATTCCAACAGCGAGGAGGCTGGTATGATGCGCCAGCAGCCTGTGCAGCTGGCACTCGAGTCGGACAATGAGGAGGCTGGAGAAGATGTGGTGCCAGAGGCGGGGATTCAGCCAGGGCCTTCAGAACCTCCAGAAGCTCCCATAAGTGAAGAGGAGGAGCCTCTTCTCGATGTACGGGCGTGCAGAGCTGCCAAAAGGCAGGAATGGCTCCTCAGGAGGAGGTCTCGAGAATAAGGCTTGGGGCTACTTGGCCACTCCCTTAGCCTATTTAAGGAAGGACGACGATTGAGGCAATTTGCAGGGAACAACTTCGTTCACTCTCCTTCGTCTGGATCTTAGTTCTCTGCAAATTGCTTCTGGGCTTTCTGCCAACCATAGTAAGATTACGATTATTTATTCTTTGGATTCTTGTAGGCTGTTAAGAAAGTTAATTAACAGCCTTTGTTTGAAAAAGACTAATTTAATTTAGTAAACTAAGGTTTGTACAGACTTTGTGTGTTCTGCGTTCTTTGGGGTCCGTAGCTGGGGCAGAACATAAAGCTGCCAAGGTTGGAGACACCTGGTTAGGTGATTTTGGGTGGTCCTTGGGGCAGCCCTTGGTTTATTATTTCTCTCTTTGCAGCGGCTGGAATCCAAAAGCAAATTGACAACCTGAAGGGCAAGCTGCAGGAGACCCAGGAACGACGGAAACGCCAAGAAGACCTCATCATGAAAGTGGAGAATCTGGCACTCAAGGTGATTCTGGAATTAATGGATTTTTAATCCCACCTTTATCATTGTTTAGAAACTCGAGGTAGCGAACATACCGTATTTTTTGGAGGATAAGATGCACCGGAGTATAAAAGACGCATCTTAGTTTTTGGGGAGGAAAATAAGAAAAAAGCTGATTGGTGGGTGGATTGGCCTCCCGGAATACCCCCAATCAGCTGTTCCCAGAGGTGAATTTTAGCAACAGGTTCCTTGGTTGTGAGTTCTGTGCCTTGCTTTTTTTTTTTTTTTTTTT